TAAAACGACAACCACTTCGCATACAACAAATGCAAGAAAAAAAATCTCATGCTTCTCTTCTTTGCTTTTTTTTTATTCCGCTGATCTGCGTTTGGGGTCTGCTGTCGGGTGTGTCTTCGGTTCCCTTGATCTGCTTAAAGTCCACGGAGACGGGGGAATCTAACTCGACGACGGCGATCTTGTAGTCATCCATCGCTTTGATTTCGCCCAGCTCGTTCTTGTAGCGGCGACCTCGCGCGTTTCGCACCTGGATTCGCACAACGTTGTCGATGCCGTAGATGTTTTTGAGGTAGTTGACCAGCTCCGCCCTGGACATGTCACTCGGGACGTAAAACACCGGGCGGGTGGTCTCCCTGTTGAGAACGCTGTCCAGGACTAGTCGCACCTCCGCGTCGGGGAAGTAGCGGGCAAAGAAAAAGGGAAAGTACTCCTGCGAGCGCCGCAGCCCGGTCGGCGGGGGACGCTGGTGCGGCCACCCCCACTCCTCCGCCTTCTTCCTGACGTACCCCATCTTGCCGGCGATGGGGTTCCAGAGGCGGGAGCGGCCAAAGTAGTCGTTGACGGGGGGGTCCGGAAAGGGGCGCGGGTCCGGCCGCGTGTGTTGGTACTCCCACGTGTTCCAGCCCTTGTGGATGCGGCCCATGCGGTAGCGCCAGAGGTTGATGCCCTGGTTCACGAGCGGCCGGTAAAAGCGGCCTCTAGTCGCCGTCGTCAGGGCGAGCGGGGCGCCCGCGGGGAAGTTCGCGCCCGCCACCGCAACGGCTGGGCTGCTCGAGAGCGCACTCCCGCAGCCTCCAGCAACGGCGAAGCGCCGCATTCCCCCGATTGACATCTTCGCAGCGAGGAAGGGCGCAGCCGCAGCCCACACCCGCCACCTTCGTCTTCCTCCTCCACGGCTGTCAACACACCACGCAGAGGATTATTATTATTATTTCATATGTATATATTAAGAAGAAAGTCAAAGTGGGGAAGGAGGCACTGCGTAGGAACCACAACCACCAATAAGAATCAATAAGAGACGCGCAAAAGCATACACTCGCACCAGCTTACTTGTTATTGTTAGCACAATACAGTACACACACACACAGAGACATACAAGGCCCTTACAAAAATAAACAATAGTAACAAACAAAAAAAAGAAAGCAGCACGAAGAAGAGACGATTCTATTTGGAGCTAAACATTGATACGTGACGCCGGAGCGAAGGCGCCCCTCATGGTCTCGTTCAAAGAGCACCCAAATGAAAACTAATACTGCGGCACTGAAGGGGACAACAAATATCGCCCGCAACTGCTCCCGCCGGCATGCGCTGTCTATGAGACACTTTCTATTTTGTTCTATATGGAACGGGCAAAGAATTCCGTAAAATATCGCAGGGAATTGACCCGCAAGGGAAGGACAAAAGAATACACATAAAAAAAAACACACCACACTCTCCCCCGCCATCTAGCAAGCGATGCACCTGGCTCAGGTTCCACGCTCAGCATCACTCACCATCATCTGCGAGATTGCCTGCAGCGTTGCCCGTTGTCGAACGCGGGCTGCTTCCTGTGTTTCCCGCCACTGTGCTTGCAACTGCTCCTTCTCCGCCTCTGCCGCATGCAGCAAAGCCACCTTCTCGTCAAGCACCCTTCGCAGACGACAATTGTCCTCATCCACGCGTGCAAGTTGCCCGCGCAGAAGTGTCAAGGCCTCCGCAGCCCGCGTCAGTTTCAAGGACTGCTGATGCTCCCGCACTGCAGAAGACGCGAGTTTTTCTTTTGCGTCTTCCAGCGCCCCCATAACCTCCGTTACAGGAGGACGTGGCGCGACCGCGGCTGCAGACGCTACGCGCTCCTGCTGCATCGCCTGAAGCTCTGCGGAAACGCGCTGTAGCTCCTCCTGCACCTTGCGGAGGTTTGCGGCCTCACAGCGGTGGTTGGCGGCCTCCTCCTCTGCGTCCTCAAGGCGTGCCTCCAGCCGGGCGATGGTGGACCGCTTCTCGTCAATCTTCTGCTTGGCCTCCGCCTCCAGCTCGTCAAACTCGGCGTCCTTCTTTTGAACCGTCTCCCGCAGGTTGTGGAGGGTGCGGAGCAGGTTGTCGCGCTCCCGCTCGAGGTCCTCCCTCATCTTTCGTGCCCCTGCATCCGACTGCTGAAGCCGCAGCGACGCCTCCGTCAGCTCGCGTTCCTTGTCCGCCACACACCTCAAAAGGCGCTCGTTTTCAACCGACAGCAACTGCTCCGACTGCCGAGTGAGAGAGAGGGCGGTTTGCAGCCGCTGCAGCTCCTCCTCCTCCCCCGCAGCTCGCTGCTGAAGATGCTCAGCAACGGGGTCGCAACCGACATCAATGCCCCTTGGCGATAATCGTTTTGCCGCCTGTAACTGCAGTAAAGCCCCCCGGTAATGCTGCTGCAAAGAACTGGCGTATTCCTCCCACGCCTTCTCGGTGTTCGTTCGGCTGAGCACGACAGACTCATTTTCGCACTGCAGCAGGTGCAGTTGTGCGGCTATCGCGGTTACGAGTCCGCTCCACGCGAGAAACTCCAACTGGCGTCGCGCCAGAGACTCCGCCAACTCTAGTTGGTGAGATTTGTCAACAAACTGCAATTGCGTCTCGCACGCCACTAGCGCCGTCTTGCTGCTATGTGACTCGTCTCGCCACTTCTTCAGCTGGAGCTGTGCATTTTCTTTCTGCTGCTCCAGCCACTCAGTCTGTTGAACGGCGTCATCAAGGCGTGTCTTCAGTCCCATGACTTCGTTGCTCGACTCCCAACGCAGTCGTGCGGCCTCCGCCTCCAGTTGCCGCATTGCGGTGGCAGACTCGTTTTGCTGTTGCAGCAGAGCGGTACGCAACGACTTTGTCTGCTCCTCCAGCTCAACCCGGTTTTTCCGCTGCAGAATAACTGCCTCCTCAGAGCGGCGTGAAAGCTCCTCCTTCAGGGCCGTCACCTGACGGCAGAGACGCTTCTTTTCCGTGCTGGTGGACTCTACAAGGGCAATGTGCGACTGTCGCAGCTCCTCGAAGCTGCGGCGCAGGTCTTCCTCCAAGGCCACACGCAGTGAAAGCTGCTCCTGTGAGCGCTGAAACTGTAACTGAAGGTGCCCGATGAGTTCCGCTTTGGCCAGCAGCTCCTCTTGAAGAACGCCCTCCTCCACGCCCGAGACATGGAGCTCCTTGTGAAGCGGTATAGACACCTTTGTGAGCACGGAGCGCGACACCCGCTTGAGGCGCCATGGGGGGGACGCAGTACGCCCCTCCGCCTTCTCCCTTTTGAGGTCACCGCTGCAGGGACTGTCGCTGCTGCTCGGGCCCGTCGTAGAGGTCGACAGGCACGTCACGTCTTCAGCCGCGCACGACGCACTCGCGGGAGCCACACCCGCCGAAAAGGGGTCACACTTGACGTCCTCCGCGCTCTGCCGCGGCGGAGGAAGGTCGGGGCTAACAAACGCAGGGGAGGTGACATCAAGCGGGTGCCAGCGGAGTTGGTCGTCGCCGTCCCCGCTACTTGCTGCATGCTCCCTCCGTCGTGGCTGCGATCCTGCGGGGTCGCAGCCACACGTCACCCCATTCAACACCCCAAGTCGCTGAAACCGCCGAAGCAGCCGCTCTGTGTAGTTGGGTTCCGTGAGACAAAAGGGGTTTTCGCGCAGGTGCAACTGTGGAGGAGCTGCTGGCAAAACCAACACCGCCTTTGGGGTTTCCACGCGAAGGTCCTGAAGCTCGCGACAATTTTCCAACGACTTCTCCAGCTCCGCCAGGTCTGCCAATTTGTTCCCGCAGATGTCAAGATGAAGCAATTGCTGCGGACACGGCAGCCGACGGAGTCCCCGCACATCCTCAAGCTCGTTAAAGCTAAGCGAGAGCCACGCTAGTGCAGGAAGATGCTGGAAACCGTTGACAACCGTCAAGAAGTTACTTGAGAGGTTGAGACGCTTCAGATGACGAAGCCCTTTAAACGCGTCTTCGTCCACGGCCCGCAACTCGTTGGCGCTCACGTCAAGCTCGGTGAGTTGACGCAAGTGCCCCAGGCACTCCAGGCGCGAGATGGCGTTCATGTGCACGTTAAGCGACGAGAGTTGGGTCATGTGCTCCAGGTGGCGGATGTGGCTCAAGGAGAACAGATTGCGGCAGCAGAGAAATAAGCTGCGCGTCCGACGCAGCGCGCGGAGTGTCTCCTCTGGCAATGTTGTATTCTCCACCATCGGGGGCCTGCGTCCGCTCGAACACGATCGCCTTCGAGGGCGACGGTGTGCTGGACCTTGCGGCGCCCGACTGCAGCCGGCGCCGCTGCACAGGCGTCGTCTCCCCCCGCCTCCTCGTTGCACTGGCGGCGGAAGCTGGGAAGAGGAACGGCAGCGGCCGGGGCTTCCGCGGAATCGGCGTTTCGACCCGCGCAGCCGGTGTGTCGCCCCGCATTTTGTCTCGTGTTCGTCTTCCGCGACTCCTCCTTGCCTGTTTGCTTGCAGCTTCGTGCTTTGTCGCACGCAGTCGCAGGTCGCTGGCGGTGCGGAGCGCGCGAGCAACGCAGCGGCACGCCCAACACGCAGCAAGAACCAGAAAAAAAAAGGAACATGGAGGGAAAGGCAATTCAATACAGCGAAAACAAAACAAACCCCCTCCCTCCCACCACAAAAAAAAAGTCAAAAAGGCGGGGTTATGCCGCTCGCTCCGTGCTTGAGGAGGAAAGGCAGGCAAGCAAACAAACACTCGTGAGGCGCAGCGGCCAAGTGCAGATAATGTGTGTGTGTGTGTGTGTGCCTGTAATGAGGCTGGGGACCGGGGAGCCTCTCTGCCCCCCGGCGTGTTAGCCAATCATACTCCGCTTGCGGCCGCGAGCCCGCACCGCCTCCAGGCGCGCTATGGTCGCAGCCCCCTTTTGCGCCTCCACGGTGCGAAGGTAGCCCTCCAAGATCAGCGCGGTCGACACGTGCTCAAGAAAGGGATGGGAGGACTTCACCGCCCGCTCAAGCACGTAGAGATCCACTGCACGCTCCTCCGCACTGTTCTTGTCCATCACCAGCCCAAAGTCTATCACAACGATACCGTCACGATAAGGGGGCTTGGGCGCCAATTCCTCCACGGAGGGCCCCTGCGCGTCCAAGATCTCGCGTCTGCATATAAAATTGGACGTTGTTAGATCGCCGTGAATGATATCGGCGTTATGCAGGAGTCCAACCACCTCCCCCATGCCCCTTAGCAGGCGTGAGGCTAAAACGGTATCCGCCGCCTGTCCATGTGTGGCCTTTTCCTGCTCCTGGTTGAGGAACTCGCGCACGGTGAGGCCGTCGATGCGCTCCATCACGATGGCGCAGCGTTCACGGTCGACAGCATAGACGGTGGGGGCAATAACCCCGTTTTTGCGGCACCGCACAAGCGCTCGACCTTCCCGCACCGTCCGCTGCTCCCGGAGTCGTTGATCCAACGCAGGGTGGCGGTACGCCTTGGAAAACCGGTGCTTGCAGACGGCGCGGTGGCCGTAAAAGTTACACTCATACACCTTGGACTCCGCGCACTGCGACAGGAGGGGTCCAATCTCGACGCGGCTTATGCGCACATCCATTTCCGTCGCTTTGCTCGCCCCAAGGTTTCTTCTGCCGGAGGAAGAGAAACGGCAAACGGGCGAGAGAGGGGATAAAAGGAAGCAGCACGTAACCGTTGGGGGGGGGGGGGCGATGCGACAGGCATGGGCGGAGTCCTCCTCCCTCCAGAGTGTCAGAATGGCAAAGGAGAACATGTTCCCGTGGGGAGGTGAAAGAAAAAAAAAACATAATAATCATAACTGACGCTGCTGCACCTACAGGGGTTGTGGCGAGGTCGCCAAATAAATATAAGAAACACCAAAGTGCGGAGGATACACAATCCCCTACCGTAATCTCCTTCCACGTGCGAGTCTGCCTCCCAGCTTCAGCGTGGATGGCATTGCACACGATCGCCCAGGCAAATAACTTGATGAGTCACCACCCTGAGAACTGGGGGGAGGAGGGGGAGGAGTCTGCTGCCGGTTTACGCAAGTACGCATAAAATTTTTGGGGGAGATATGCGTGGGGGGTGAGTGCGCAGGGGGAAATGCATTCACCCAACCCACAGCGGCGGAGAAAATTATCGCAAAGACCACACGTGGCAAGCAAACAAACAAAACAAAAAGAAACAAAGAGACAGCTACGCGCCTGGCTGAGGCCTCGCCCTCGCCCACCTCCTCCGCACAGAATGGAACAAACAAAAAAAAAGATGAGTGTTCCCTTCTTAGTCCGCGCTCAGCATTTCCAATTAGATTTATGAAGGCCACGCAAGCAATGACAGCCGGGCTCTTATTGCGAGCGCACAAAGTGGCAGCCTCGTGCGGGGCCCTGCAACCGCCAGTCCCCCCACCCCCACCACTCTCTCTCACCGCATGGAGGGGGGTGTTGGATGTCGCGGAGAACTGTGGAAGGACAACAACAAAAAAAAAACAAGACCGTACTCGCCGTGCCCTTCAACGATAACGTATGGGAAACAAGGAATTCATAGAGAAAGACAAAGTAAAGTATATATGTGTATATGGGCAGGGAACTCACCCATTTATTGTTCTTATTGGGGCAGCGTCTGCTGGAAGCTTCACTTTCACAGACTTGTGGATGCCGGAAGAAAAAAAAAACACACACACAATAGCCCAATAGCAACTCCACAAGAAGGTGCCAGAGTAAAAAAAAGGGGAGGAGGGGGGGGGGATCCCAAAGAAGCGGCAGAGTTTGCTGCTGCTTCGTCTCTCCGGTGTATGCGCAAAACTCTATTTATTTCGTTACTCCCTGTTCGGCAGTGACATTTCTGCATCTTCCGCGTCACGCTTAAGCAGCTTCGCCGCAAAGTTCCAAAGGAAAATGGAACAAATTGGACAAGCAATCAACGTGGAAAGCACGGCCGCGTTTCTTACTAAACGTGCGTATTCTACCCGCTGCTGCGCCACGGCCATTTCTTTAGGCGACTTGGCCGACTCCAGCTGCGCGTACGCGTACGCCAGCGCGACGGCGCCCAACGGGCCCTGCAACGAGCCCTTCCCCAGAAATCCGATGCCGCAGAAGAGCAGCTCCTTCCAGGAGAAGCCCATGCGTGCCATCAGCGGCGTCAGTAAGGCGAGAATAAAGCGAACCACCAGGCCGGCGAGGATGATGCCGACGGTGTAGCCGAAGTACCTTCGATCAACGATGTCGTAGAGCGCAACGTCGGCCCCGGAAAGTGCAAACATCGCCGGCATTGCGACGTAGTCCCAAATTGTGGTAAAGGCCTGCACCAGTTCGCCTCTCAGCTCCACGTGGTAGCTGCTGCCACCACGCAGACAGAAAACGTTGAAGGAGACGACCATCACCAGGGCCATAAATATACCCCCGCCCACGCACGACAGAACGCGAGCGACGGAAACAGCTGCCAACGCAAGTAGTAAAATGAGGAGGACGGAGAGGTGGCGCACATGTGTCGCGTGCCGCTGCGTCATACGCTGGGTGCGCCCATTCCCCAGAGGAATTCGCTCCGCCTCCATACAAAGAACATGAAAGGCGGCAAAAAACACCAGCCCGCCTAGAAGAATTCCACCCAACGCTCCAGCAACAATTTGCAGAGGAACAAGTAGAATGGCAAAGAAGGTGCTTGACGTTTTAAACTCCAGAGAAACGAGAAGCTGAATAATGAATACGCACAGTGACGCCTCAATAGAGACGGAGGTGAGTATTAGCATGCCCGGGCCGTCCCGTGTGCCGTAGCCCTTCTCTTGCAGTTCAATCAGAACCGGCGCCACCACGCCTGGGGCGGCGGCAGAAACGAGAAATCCCTGCAACAAGGCCCAAAGATAATCCGGGTAATTGTACGCCAATTTGCACAAAACACCGTGCAGCAACGCCTCTGCAAGCAAGGGTAGCATGCCAAAGAGAAGGTAGGCGAATAGGTGTTTTCGCAGTGCGTCAACGTTCATCGAAAGCCCAGCGCGAATAACCCCCACTGCAACTCCGAGCGTGTTGACAAAGTTGCGCATCGGCATCGTGATACCGGAGGTTAGGTATGCCGCACGAGGGACGTTGCCGTACAAAAGCCCTGCCGCAATAATAGACACGAGTGAAGGTACAGGTATAAAGCGTGAGATTAGGCATCCAACGAGACCCGCGAAAAGGATGGTGGTGATGGTGTCAAAGTAGAGCCCTCCAGGTGAGAATGGCGTCGGCGACAGTGTATACATAAGCGCCCAGAACAAAGTGATGTAGATCGCACGAAGTAAAAATGAAAGGGGGAAAAAACGGTACTTCCTCCGCGCTATAGTAACGTACACAGAAAGCCGCTCACGATCAAATTCGAAGCCGCAACATGCGTCACTGCATCCTATTCGTTTGAACGCGTCCCACGTGTCTGCAGTGTGTGAGCGACTACGCTCAAATGGCCGAAAGTACATATTACAAAACACGTGAAGAAGCTCACGCCGCCGGTTATCACTGCTTAATTCATTGAAAGCTTCAAGAATAATTTTTCCACGTTCATCATCATCGGTGGCTGAATTTGGGACTTGACAAGGGCATTTAGAGGATCGCTTCTCCGAAGACGGCAACGACACCATCGTTTCCAAGAAACCGTCTCCCCGCAGAGCCTCCGCCTCGTCCGAGGCACAGTGCTTTCTCGTTTCGTCCAGCGACGCAGTGAGTTCCCCAAGGACAGAGAAACTCTTTCTGCGCCGAGGCGGAAAAGCAAGGATGTTGCCTCGGCCGCTGCGGCTGGCTCCAGCCTCCAAGTGGGTGTCAGAGGAAGCTGGAGGGGCGGAAGAAGAGCGCGCAAGACATTGTTGCGTGCACGAGTCGTATGGGTCGCTGTACATTGTCCTTGGGCGTTCTTCCCCGCCCGATTTACCGAGCGAGAGCACCTCAACCATGCGCTCACAGTCATCGCCAACAGAGGACGCGACGCAGCCCACGTCAAAGGGACCGCCAACGCGCGGAGGGACGGGGGTGCCTTTGGTCGCGCGGTCGCTCGGCGGTTCACTTAGGTGGGCCACAGACGATGCAAGGGACGCGTTCAAGCCGTGATGGCCCCCCTGGTCGCCGCGGCCAGGAGGCACGCTAGGGCCGTGCGGGAGCGTGGCACGGCGACTCTCACTCCACCCGGTTCCTGCCTGAACCCTGTCTCTACCGTTATTGAAGCTAATCTTGGACTCGCTGCAAGCACGGTGCATCGCGCCGTAAGCGGCGGCCTGCCTGTTTGCCCTGCAAGAAGCAAGTGATGAGGAGGACCTTCCCTCGCTTCCCTAGCAAGAAAAGGAAAAAAAAAAAGGGGGGGGGTTGAGGGGAAAGTGTGGTGATAAATGATAGAGTCCAAAATGTCAATAACAACAACAACAACAACGAGGGCACGAAATAAAGCGACCGGTACAAAAAAAAAAAGATTTTTCGCTTGTTTTTCCTTCGCCCCTTCAGATGACCTCTTTTTTTTTCTTTCTTTGCCCCCTGAGGAAGAAGCGCGCAAAGGCCGTCGTGGGGAATTTCACTGGGCCCTGTGCGGGCATCCGCCTGCGCGAGTCGAGAGTAAAGGAACAGAAGAAGAAGAAGGAGGAGGAGGAGACACGACGGCAACTGCCTCAGCCAATGGAGCGTGCAGGAGTAAAACAAAGGCAGGGCCGCCCACCCGAAGCCCACGCCGTTCTGTCATCTTTCACCACCGCACCAGACAACGCGTCGTTCCTGCTAAGGTGGCAGTAACAGGGCCGGTAAAAGGAGAAACAACACACTGAAAGGTGCCGCGGCAGAAGAGCCGACAAATTTGCAAGGGCACAGTGGGGAAAAGAGAGAACGCCGCAGGAGCGGCCACCACTGATCCAGCATTTTTTGCTTCTGTTTTTGCCACGTCTCTTCACACGTCGCAGCTGCCAGAACTGACGTCGAGACGACGGCCCGCGTCACCGCGTTCCCCCTTCCAAGCAAGGAGCCCCGCGTGGAAGTGTGGAGGCGACCAGGCGTCGACTCGCCGCAAGTGGGCGCGTGTGGAAAAGGCGAAGGACGTCATTCAACGAGAGGGAGACGTCGCCGAGCGACACCAGACTGCGCCGCCGCCGGCAATTGCCGACGGCGCTGCTCAGGAGCTTAGGGTTAGGGAATGTGCAGCCAAGTTGGCACTGCCATCCGTGACGGCAGCACGCACCCGGCCAGGCGCATCGCCCGGCTCCCGTCCCTCCCCCGTCAAGCACACGCCTTCTTCTCCGCCACAAACACCACTCAACCACCGCCGCTACGAGCAACAGCGGCCAGCTAGCCAGCAGCCACGGCGCACTCCACCACACGCCCATGCAACTGCGAGCGCCTCAAAAAGAAGCAGAAGGCGGGATCGAATCGACGAGCGAAGGAAAAACAGGGAGGATTGAGCAATGCTGGAAAGAAGCAGAAGACAAACAGTGATGTGCCACACGCGTCGTCTCTCGTAGAACTGCCAACGTCGTTCCTCGAGCACGCTTCAATGTCAAACAGAGGACCAACAGACTCGCATTTGTGTCTGTTCACTGTTTGTGTGTGTCATCAGCGGCAGCGCAAGTATCACGGCAAAGGATTTCCCTTACGACGGTGCAATGAAGGAGCCCAACCGCCGCCCACCCTTCGTAGGCCAAACACCCCCTTAAGACATCCAAGACAAGAGGGTTAGGATGGCAAATTCATCATCAAAGTCTATTACTATTTTCAGCAGTAGTAGTAGTAGCACCCTTAGGGGATGTGTATGTGTGTGTGTGTGTGTGTGTGCGCGCGCGAAATTATGCACGTGGGAGTCCCGGCACCAAGACACCCCGGTTGTTGTTGTTGTTGTTGTTTATTGTGTTTGTGTGTGTGTGTGTGTGTGTTTGGAACGTGAGAAGTAACACAATACAGAGCACGGGGAAAATGAAAATAGAAATACAAAAAAAAACATATGAAGCCAAGCTCCAACACCAACTCTACACCTGAGTTATTATCGACGCACCGCGACTTGCTTCCCAATCAGCTGCTTAAGTCAGTCCGCACCTCTTTTACCTTGCCATCTAAATGAGGCGTTGCCCTCTCCATCTATCTCCCTCTCTCTCGCTCTCTCGCTCTCTCGCAGCCTCTTACAGATTCATGTAAAAAAAACGATAATAAAATAATAATAATAAACCAGCGTCCACTTGCTTCTCACCGACGAAGGCAGCAGATAAAAGTCGCCCTTCCAGAAATTGCTCCTTGCGATGCGGCGGAAGAAAAGGTTTGGAAGAGCTACTTTTTTCGATTCAGCGCCCGTCGAAGATCCGCCAGGAGATGCTGCTCCTCCGGAGTCAACATCGCCAAATCATCCCTGGTGACTCTGTCCTCCTCCCCCTCGTCCGACCGTCCCTGAAGCCTCTCCAGAGGCCGGTGCTTGGACGGCAGCAGGATGGAGCTGGGTGTGGGCTGGACGGCGAGTGGAGGAGACACAAGGTCGCCAAACGTGCTGGTGTGGGCTGGTGGCTGGGAGGGCCCCAGCTGCTCCTCAAGCCTAGTCGCCTCCGCCTCCCAAGCGGACTCCCTCGTGCCCGTTTCATGATGACCGGGGGTGAATTCGGCATCCGAGGTCTGCGTCGCGGTTTCCTCTGCGTGACACGGCAAATCTGTTGCAGAAGACTGCGTCGGGGAACGGAGGTCGCAAGGCGTGTCGCGTGCGGTGGGGCCAAATGCGACGGTGGACTTGAGTACCTCGCGGCGCCTCTGCAGCTCCGCGTCAATGGCGGCCAAGGCAGCAAAGTACTGCTGCGGCTGTGTCCCCTCCTCCGTCTTATTGGCACCCATCTCACACTTGCTTGTTGCCGCGGCCCGTGTCAACCGGGGCGGGGCCTTCGTGTTCGCCGATGGGGGCGGTCTATGGTCCAAATCGACCACGAGAGGCTCACCCGGCACCCGCCTTGGTGTGGGGGGCGGAGGAGGAACCACAGCATCAGGCGGCGGCGTGGAGTCTCTAAGCCCATTTGCGTCGCCAGATCTATTCGCCGCTGCGCAGACGTGAGAAACTTCCTTTGCGGACGACGCCTTATCCAGCCCCTCCGGCATCTCTTGATGCACCTCCTGACGCTCCCCACGTGGCCCATGGCGCTCCGTGGCTGGCACGCAGACGGGCACTTCTCTCCGCATCGCAGAGGCGGCGTGGGAGCCCCTTGCAGAAGGCCTGACCGGGTCGGGCGTCTCTGCTGCAGCTGCTGGCGTTGCTGACGTCAAACTCACCGGGCTCGTCGCCTCAGAGGCCCGCACCTGCATAATTAAACGCGCCTGCTCTGCGTAAGCAAAGCGATGAACGTGCTCAATCGCAGACCCCTCCCTCGGGGCGGTGAAACTTCCCTGCGGTTCATCGTTGCACTCGTCGCAGCGAGTCTTCCTGGGAGCACTGAGACCACCCCTGACGGGGCTGCGGCGCCGCACCGAGCCCAAGGCCGCGACGACGACGGCCAGAACCTCGTGCAGGTCCACAAAGCCCCCAAGGTCAAACGCCAACGATTCCGGCTTGCATGACTCCTCCTCGACCCAATAGGCAACTATTGTCTTCACGCCAACCACTTCAGCCGGCTTCAGTTTTCTTCGGCGCATCACGGTGAAGCTGTCGATGTCTTTCCGGTCCGTGAGCGTCACGGCGGCAAGCATGTCGTTGAGGACTGACGTCAGCAGGCGAAGTTCAACGTAACGGCGCAACACTATAGTGCTCTGGATGAGTGAGCGAGAGGCACTGCTGTCCGCCTCCTCCAGTGGAAGGGAAACCTTCTGCGTTTCCACTGTGCCGTACTTCATGGCCGCCCGGTGAAGACGTGAAAAAAGACAAAAATCTTCCAAGGCGGCGTCTGACTCATCCAAAAAAAGTTCCCGAAATACACGGCAAAGCGAACTAACATCATGATATCTTTGCAGGCCCTCCGCAAGTTCCTTCAACACACGATTCCATTGAAGCGCCCCATAGCGAGCCTTCAGGACTCTCACCGTCAGCGAGGCGACAGAGCGTACTTGTTGGTGATCAACTGCATTCATCTTGGCAACATAACTCATAATGTCCTCCACCAGACGCGATACCCATTGAGCGGAACGCAGAGGCGTGGCGGGGGTCGGTTTTGTGGTGGTAGATGCATTTGGGCCAGGCACTGCGGTGGGCTCACCTTGCCTTTTGCCACTGTTTCCAAGAAGGCCCTGCCGCCCCAAGGAACCTGTACGCGGGGCGGAGATTGACCGTTGCGGCGTAAACTGTCGGCGAAGAAACGTTGACCGTGCTTTCACAAAAGGAGTACGTTCCACTGAACCCTGACTTCGGCTACGGCAGGCTTTTGCGGACGTGCAGCTTACAGCACCTACTCGTCTTCGCGGCTGTTGGGCGGTGCTGGGTGAGAGGGTGTGGAGAAACGAATACGAGAGACTGGAACTGGGGGTTGGGTCCACGACACTGGCACTGTCGTTGTTCCAGTCAATCGTCAATGGACTAATGTCCTCCGCCCCCACGCCGCTGGCATGGGGAAATTCCTTCTGTACGAACGACCTTCCCTGCGCCCGCGCGGCCGCGCGCAGCACCGACGGTGGGCCGTCTTCACGACGATTGCGGCCAGAGCTGAGGCCACGGAGCGACGGAGACGGGCCCTTCTGCACGGACCGCAGCTGCCGCAGAGACAAGAAGGACAATGCGGGATGGCTAGAGCTCACCTGCCACTCCACGCAAAAACGGTGGTGGGGGTCATGAACAGGGCGCCACTCTGTGTTCTCCGCCGCAGCAAGCAGCAGCATCACCTTTTCCTTTTCCCTCCGCGGGAGTTCGGCGAGGGTGAGGTAGCGTATCATTGGGTCGCCGGCACAGGCCCCCTGGTCTTCTTCCTAATGCGTACGTGTCGCAATTCGGGGAGGGAGTACGGGGGCCACGAGAATAGGTGTGAAAGTAAAAAAAAAAAGGAAGAGAGTAAGGAGGAATCTCGCAAGGAGTCCAATCATCGCTGAAGTCCGCCACATGCTTGGCAAAATAAATAAAGAAACAAATATTATTCCATCTGGACTTCCCATGTCTGTGGTCTGGGGGGTGGGCAACAGCGACGAAAGTGCTCCCCGTGCAGGGGCTCCAGCGCAGGCCCCCACATTCACCCACACACACACACAGAGAGAGAGAGAGAGAGAGAGAGAGAGAGGCACAGAGACATCAGGAAGAGTAGCACAGATACGTGGTTCACGCAAGGCAATGCCAACACACATCGCAAACTCTCAACGAGTAGAGAGAAGTTTCTCTCGCATCAATACAGCCTGCCGCTGAAGTGTAGAAAGCTCAACTTTCAAATCGAGACTCTCCTTTTCTCCGTGCTCTAGCTTGGCTGCCAATTCCCTCAGCTTCAAAGACATGTACTGGCAGGACTGATGATTCTGAATTTGGGCCTTTTGCAAGTCGGCACAGCGACGTTGTGCTTCCAGCGCCATCTCCTTCGCACTCAAGGCCTCGCTTCGCCAGCTTTGCTCCGCGGCCTTGTTGCATTCCAGCCGCTTTGCCTGCTCCTCAAGCTTCCTCTGAAGATTCTGTATATCCTCCACGCTTCCAAAACTACTCTCCACCAGCTGCCGCACAATCTCCTTCATATGCGTCACCTCCTCCACCACTTGTTTCATAGCTTGTGGGTCCTCTTGGGGCGGCGCCAGGGTCCCCGATGCCCTCAACAGCTGCTCAAAAGCGGCACACCGCGCGGTTAGCTGCTCCAGCTTCGCCACAAGTGGCTGAATAACCCTCGGCAGCACCTCTTCATCCTGCACACGAGGAGTTCTATCGGTGTCGTCGTGGGGAAAAAAACCTGTTTCTGTGTCGTGGGGGAGCGGTTGTCCGCAGGTGTCGTTGAGAGCAGCCTCCGTCGCGTGCTCTGCGCCTTGTCTTGTGGAAAGGGGCTCCGACTCGGACCCCTTCGCTTTCACCTCGACCGATTCCGTCGGCGACCATGGTTGCCTCGTCTCTGACTGGATTTGCTTCGCGGGAAGAAGCTGCTTGCCAAGGAACAGCTGCTTTGCCCCCAGCAACGCGGCGCATCGAGGGTGTTGCTCCGCAAAAAACCTGGGGGCGCTATCATGGGGCTCTTTTCCGCCGCACGCGATCGGGCTCGAGAAGCTACTACCAGTAATAAGTGTTGCTGCAAGCAACGAGCCCGCCGGTTGAGCGTGGGGGGATGGCGTCTGCAAACACGACAGCATCCGTCGCGGCGGCAGCTGCTGCTGCTTCTCGCACCCCTCAGCCCCGTCAACATCCTTCACTTCCCCTCCAGGCACCGGGGAATCGGCGGCCCTGCTGAGGCTAAGTAGTGAGCGGCTTGTCCCGCTGGACATGCAGGGCTGTGGGGGCTGCTGCCGCCGCCTGACGGGCTTCTCCTCCAGCTTGGCTGCGTCGCACGGTCCGGAAAGCGCCTCGACGGTGGCTTTGTTCGCCACGCCACCTCCACCACCGGCAACGTGAGCACTCGCAGCCTCTATTGACGCCGCATCAGAAGTGTCCGCCGCCTGCACGGATTCCGCAAAAAGCGCCTCGCGGTGTGGTGTGGCTGCCAGATTCTTTGGGCCCGCCAAGTCCCCCGCGGTACTGCTTGAATCGGCTGTTTGGCCAAGAACGACCTTGGCATATTTGGAGGCAGCGGAAACCCCCTCGCCGCGACTCGCGCTGGTTTTTGAATTCTCCTTCTCTTTCTTCTTCTTCGTCGCCTTTGTGTCGCTTGACGAGGACGACGTCGCGGAGTCCGCGTAGCGCGTTGAAGGACTCTTTCCCGTCCCCCCCTCCGCCGACAGGTTTCCGTCAGCAGACTTCTTCTTCTGCTTGCCTCCGTTGGTTTCCGCCTTGTCACTGCAGGCGCCTCGCGCAGACGCCGAGTGCGACGACCCAGCCGATGTGCCGTGTGTTGACGCGTGCGCCTCCCTCGCCGTCCCATCAGCATGCGGAGAGCCTGGCGCGGAATACGGCACAGCCTCCTCAGCGCCGCCCGCAACATCAGTCAATGCCCTTGGCGTGGCGTCACTAGGAGCGTTCAATTCCGTCTTGTTGTCCGTTAGCACCTCCCGCTTCGGCGTGGGCAACACGGGCCCCACAACTGGACGCAGCTGCTGCAGGATGAACTCCGTCACTTGCTCCGTTGGCTCTCGCGCCATTGCATGCGCCAACATCTCTACCTCCGCCGCAATCAACTCGGCGCGATGACGCTGCACCAACTGCTTCAGATACTGGTAGACAGCGTGCTCTGCGGGATGGGTGGACAAAAAGGTCTGACGGCTTGACTTCTGCAGTGCCTGGGCCTTTTCCTCTTCGGTTAAAGTTTTATTGCCCAAAATGTCCTCCATCTGGCGCACGAACAGGGAGGTCAGCAGCGGCTCTGGCAGCTTGCGAAGGAAGAGCGTCAGGATGGCGACAAAGTGTGGAGCACGGAGAGGCATCTTCCCCATAAGGGCATGAAAGGGCTTCTCAAAGACACGACTGGCGTACTTCCCAAAGGACTTCTTCTTTGCGTCGCCGCTGCCTTTCCCCGCACGGGTATTCTTACGAAACGAGAAAAGCTTGCAATTCCTCGCAAACTCGTTGATTGTTTTCTCCACCGCGGCAATCCATATGCTGTCCGGCGAAACAGCCGCGGTCTTCCCGACGGCGGCGTCTCCCTCGACCTGCGAGTCCCAATAAAATGCGATGTCCTGCAGCAGGACGGGGATGCCGGGGATGTAGCTGGTCGACTGCTGCACCACCCGCTGCTCGTAGACGGCGAGGGTGCTCACCGGGATGCCGAAGTACGACAGCGGGCTCTCCTCGCGCCGCCGCAGCGGCACACACATGGTGGTCCCCATCGCACCCACCGCCCCGCACGCGCCTGAAGAGCTTCCCCACCCCGCATGTAATTGTGGAAGAGACCCCCCAGCAAAAAAAAAAAAGGGCGCCCAAACCAAAGTTACGGCGCAGGCGCACACCACACCAATGAGGAGAATAAAAAGAAGAAAAGGAATAGTGTGAAAGTGAAATAAGAGCACACACACACACACAGAGAGAGAGAGAAGAAAAAAAAGGAGACAGCAGGAGTGGAACGTCCTGGTTGTTTGGTCGAGGTTTTTCCTGTGTGTTTCCTTGCCAACTAGTGAAGACACGAGGGATAGGGAAGGAGCACGCGAGCCCTTCGCCTGCGAGAGTCCGCCGCAAACAGAGAAGGTGCATACGTGCAAAAGGGCAACACGAAAACAACACGACAGGGATGAGAAAATGCCCATGAAACCACAGACGCCCCCAAACAAATTGTTTTCCCCGAGAAGGGCATCCTGGCCACAAGCGTATGCATGAATTCAGTGGCAAATGGAGAGAGATATAGAGAGAGATACCACAACAATCCTCCATCGCCCACACTTGCGCTTTCGGCGCTGGTGGCATTTGAAGGGTGTGGAAGAGCGTTTCTGCGCTCTCGCAAACGATTGCAGCAAAACGAGTCAATCTGACTCCTCTTCTGAGGCTTGTCTGCCGCGTCGCGGAGGTTGCTGCATCCGCGCTCAAAAGGCGAGATGCCGCACCGTCGGGGGAGCAGCCGCGGCCGCCCTCTCCCTTCCGGGCGTCCGTTCCATTGTCCCCCCCCCCCCGTTTCTCCTTCCCACGCGCCTGAAGGCGCCGGCATGAGGGAAGAAGACGTCCCGCAACGCACCCAAGTGGCCGCCCAGGCGAGGTGCTCGTTGAGTGCCCTCTCCCCATTGCAGCGGCTGCGTGTTCCTGCAGACGGATCCCCCCCCCCGCCCACGGACGCCGCTTGAAGGCGGGCCCCACAGGCTGACTACCCTCGGCCGGCCTCTTTGCGCCCCTCTTCTTCGCCTCACCCTTTTCCCCCACTGCCGCGCAGCGGCATCTGAGTGCCGCGCGCCACCGTGGGCCGTCGCAAAGAGGGCCAATGCATCACGTTGTCTTTGGCCCGGCGGTGCAGAACTAACATCCATCCGCCACGGTGCGAGTGGCGCCCGCGTGACTGCCCAGTCGCCGTTGGGCTAGTCCATTGCAATAAATGAGCCCGCGTCTCATATGCCCCACGCCTCGCAAAGTGTGGGGAGTGTTGTGAGCGGCGTGCGATGCATTGCACCTACACACTGAAACGCGCTTGCCCTTTAAAAGCTCTGCGCCTTGCGGGAAGCTAGGCGTAAAGGCAAACTATATATATATATATATATGTTGAATTTCGTGGCGAGCGGCGAGCGGCGGAAAAGAAGCATACCCAAAAGTGAAGCAAAGCGACACATCTCTACGCCTCCTCCCTCGCCAACACATCTTCTTACGCCGGAATCAACAACAGTCACACATACACACACGCCCCTCGTTTCAGGCGTTCCTCATTTCGCTTTGCTCGACACTTTTTTTTTCTTTTTCTTTTTTGTTTTGTTGCACATCCTCTCCTCACCTTCTATTCCGTGTCTTTGTGCATACACACATGCGTATGTATGTATATATATATTTGTTATTTTCTTCATCTTTTACCCCCCCACCCCGTTAACTTTTCTCTTTTCCCCCACCACTACCACCTCCATTTTCGTGCTTGTTTGCTTGCCTGCTTGTGGGGGTGTTCACCACGCGGCCTCCGCTTCCCGTCCGGCGCGGCGCGGAGGGGCCGTGTGGGGGGCAGAAGGACACTGACATCATTCACCCGCTCGCACGCCGACGTGGCCGCCGCGACGCCCTCCACGCGCCCGCCTCCCCCATTTTTTTTTGTTTCTCCCCACACGACTCCCCAACGGCCACACGCGGCCGGAGGGAGAGCGGGCGGAGGTATACACAAGCAAACCAAGAAGAGAGAAAGCGGGCCCGCGCATCCCCACTTTGGGGTTGCCGTATAAAAAAAAGAAAGAAAGAA